CTTTGTTTTCCTGGAGCACCCTCCCCCTTCCCTCGTCTGGAAGGCCCGGGAGGATGACTTCGGCTCTCTTTCCCCTCTCCTCCCAGTGACTCAATTTCCCCGCTGTTATGTTGCAAAAGAAAGCAGGCAGAAGAGAGAACTGTTTGGCACCAGTGAGGTATTAATGTAAAAGATTGCTCAGAAAGGCAGACTCTTTCAGATTAGAGCATCCTGTACCTCAAACTCTCCTAGGTTTAGGCATTAGGCATAGGACTGGAACATGTGACCTCTGACTTATCCTGCCTAGCTTTAGAGGCCCAGGGCTGGTAGTTAAAAAAAGTTTGGGTTGCCCTACACTACTGCCCCCTGGCGACCACAAAGCCCAGCTGCCCTTCCTCCCTTTGGCGAATTTCCCCTGCTACCTTGCCTGTCTTAGCTCCTCTGCCCCCTAGCGCGCACACCTGAACGGAGTTCACTTGTGACCGACTTTGTTTTTTGTCTTGTGCTGTTTGTTCAGTGGTTTGTTCTAGAGACCGTCTCCTGTAGTACAGGCTGTCTTGGAACTACTCCTTATCCACTCCGCAGTGCTGTAACTATAAACTCACAATGCCGTTCCCAGTTGTTCTGATTGGTATTATTCGACAGACTTGGAGCTGAATCCTAGCCTTTTTTTAAATTACACAAAATGTAATTTTGTAAGTGATCTAAATCAGACAAAACATGTGGTTTATTCTGATAGTCCAGTTTTGTATCCATGTAGTATATGCTTGTATACAAACATCTTTATGTGGATGAGGTCATGGTAAACATACTTTCCTTTTTTTCTTTCTTTCTTTTTAAAATTCATTTTTCGAGACCAGAGTTTCTCTGTGTAACAGTCCTGGCTGTCATGGAACTTGCTTTGTAGACCAGGCTGTCCTCGAACTCACTGAGACCCACCTGCTTCTGCCTCCCAAGTACTGGGATTAAAGGCATACACCACCACTGCCTGGCTTTAAATTTTATTGATTTGTTTATCTTTTTAATGAGTCCTCCATCTTCATGTATGCCTGCAGGCCAGAAGAGGGCATCAGATCCCAATACAGATGATTGTGAGACACCATGTGGTTTCTGGGAATTGAACTCAGCACCTCTGGCAGAATAGCCAGTGCTCTTAACCACGGAGCCGTCTCTCCACCCCTAGCATATTTCTTTTTTTTTTAACTTGCTTTTATCCCCAGTTAATAAATAGTAGCTGGGCCTCATGTCAGGCCTGTGATCTCAGTTCTTAGGAGACTGATGGAGGACTGTTACCAGTTGGAGGCCATTTCTGGCTACATAGCAAGATTCTGTTAAGGAAAAAACGAGTTCTACAGATTTCTGTAAATGCACGTGCATCTGAAAGTGGCAGCCGCTGCTAGGCCTGGAAAGTGCCGTGCTGGCAGCTGAGGTTGGAGGAGTCAGCAGCAGCTTTGCCAGGCTCTGAACACTGAGCTACGATCATGAGGCGGCAGTAGTGCCACGGAAGTGATGGGGTAACCAGCTTCTTTCTGGTCGGATTTAAGGCCTGCTCCACAGGAGGAAGCTCATGCTTGATACTATAAACCTGGCCAAGAATCCTTGACTAGGGAGCTCACAGCAGTAAACCTACTGCACAGTATCACACCGCTCTAAATTCCTGTCCCTACATCTTCGCAATAGTGTTGCTATGGGACCTGATTAGAGAAGTGTCTTTGCAGTGTGGGTGGTGGTCGGTGCGGAGAATCATGATTGGCCAAAGTGTGGATCCGTGTCTGGAGTGCTCAGCCACAGATGCGACATCTGTGTCACCCCACACACAAGACTCGAGGATCATCGAAGAAAGGGAGGAAAGAGTTCAGGGAGGAGCCAAGGGAAACGCTGTCTTCTGGGTGTTAGAACTCACGGCAGCTCTGTTGCCTGCACGCAATCAGCACTCTAGCCAGAGCTCCCACCTCTATCAGATGAGCTATTGAATTTGGTGGCTCCTGGGGGAAGGAGCATCAGTTTCCTTTAGAGGAAATGAATAGATGAGCAGCATGAATTGGACTCAGTGTGTTATTTAAAAAAAAAAAAAAAGATAATTGGATTGGGGCTGGAGAGATGGTTCAGTGGTTAAGAGCACTTGATGTTCTTTCAAAGGATCCAAAGTGTGCTGTTTGATTCCCAGCACCCATATGGTGGCTCACAATATCTGTAACTGTAGATCCAGGTCATCTGAGGCCTTGCTCCAGCTTCTGAGACCACCAAGTATGCATGTGTTACACAGACATACATGCAGGCAAAATATTCACACACACACATAGAACACATCTCAAGAAAATAATTTTTAAAAATTTTATGAAAAACTCTTAGCCGGGTGGTGGTGGTGCACACCTTTGATCATGGCACTTGGGAGGCAGAGCAGGCAGATCTCTGTGAGTTCAAGGCCAACCTGGTCTACAGAGAGAGTTCCAAACAACCAGGGCTGTTGCACAGAGAAATCCTCTCTCAAGAAAAAAGAAAAAAAAAAATACAACAAAACACAGAAACAAAAAACTCTTCTCAAAGCTGGGCAGTAATGATATACTCCTTGAATCCCAGCACTCAGGAGGTAGAGGCAGAAAGATCTCTGAGTTTGAGGCCAGCCTGGTCTACAAAGCGAGTTCCTGGACAGCCAGAGTTACACAGAGAAACCTTGTCTCAACAAACCATCATAATAATTATAATAATAAAAGGTTTTCTCTATAAGAAATTTTGTTCAGTATTAGTTGTAATAAAAAAAAACCCTATAAACAATGTCCATAGAAGGCTTGCAGAACCAGCCAAGTGTGGTGATGCAGGCCTTTAATTCCAACACTCCAAGGCCAAGGCAAGCAGGTCTCTGTGAGTTCAATGCCACCCTGGTCTGCATTGGGAGATCCATGTCAGCCAAGGCTAATAGACCCTGTCAAAAGAAAGAAACAAACCAAAGAGAATGGGGAGATGGCCTGTGGGTAAAGCACCTGCTGTACAGCTGTGAGGGTCTGAGTTTCAAATCCTCAGCTTGCGTACAAGGGCAGGTTAGGTAGACTCCCTCTGTAGCCCTGGTGTTCCTCAGGTGAGATGGAAGATTGTCCAGACAGGAGAGTCCCTAACAGCCCACAGGCCAGGGAACCTTCTATAGTGAGAAATGGCAAAGAGGACTATCTCCAGGTGGGAGACTAGGAGACAACCAAAGTTGTCTTCTGACCTAAACACAAACCTCGGCACAGACATCACCTTCTCCATTGTATACACACACACACACACACACACACAAGGAAATGCAAGTTTGTAAAAAAAATTTATTGACCTCACAAACAAATAATAATAATGCCAAATATATATGGCTAGATCAGCAAATGGATGCATGATAGAGGAAAAGTATTGGACTTATCGTTGTAACTGTATTAATATCACATTATATGTAGCATATTAATTATATTAATATTTAATCATTGTAATTCTATCATACTTTTTGCATGTATTTGGTGTGGGTATGTATATGTGTGTTCACCTTTGTCCGCATGTTGACAGTGTAAATGTTGGGTATTGTCCTTGATCGCTCTCCACTTTATGTATTGGAGCAGAGTCTCTCTTAGAGCCTGTAGCCCTTAGATTCAGCTAGTCTGGTCTAGTTAACTTGCTCAGTATGTGTTCAGTGTGTCTCTGCCTCCTGAGTACTGGGATTACAGGTGAGTTCCATTTCTGTGGGGCCTGGGAATCCAGGTTCCAATCCTCACAACTGCGTGGCAAGGGCTTTACCCACCACTCAAGTCTCGTTTCTGTGATAAAAGCCCCAGATGAAAAGGCATTTAGGGGAGAAGAGTTCATTTCCACTTAGAGCTCCATGTCGCCGTCCATCACAGCAGAGAAGTCAGCGGCAGTGAACAGTCACATCCTGCCCACAGTTAGCACAGAGGGGATGGATGTGTGTGCACTAGCTTGCTTGTCTGCTCCTGCTCGGCTCAGGATCCCAGCCCAAGGCATGGCTCTGCCCACACAGTGGGATGGGTCTTCCCGTATCAAAGAAGGCAGTGGAGACAGTCTGCCACAGACACACCACAGGTCAACCCAGCTTAGACAGTCTGTCACTGTCGTTCTCTTTCCAGGCGATTCTAGGTGTGACAAGTTGGTAAGGCAAACCATCACAGCCACTGAGCTGTCTTCCCAACCCCTGCTTTTTGGTTTTAAAGAAGGAAAACTACATGTGATGGTATAATGTGTAAAGGTGCCCGCTGCCAAAGCTGAGAGCCCAACTTCAATCCCCAAGACCCACATGGTGGAAGAAGAGAAAAAACTCCATGAAGGTGTCCTCTGACCTCTTTGCACATACCAAGGTACATGTATACACACACATGCACACACAAACACAAATGAACCAATGTAATAAATTTATAAAAAGGAAACATATGTTGCATATTTTTCTACCATAAGAATAAATAAAAGTTGCAATTTATGTATTGAGTCTTAGCCTTTTTTGGAATTTATCAGCAACTGTCAAAATTATATTCCCATATCTTTTTTTTTACTTTTAAAAAGTACATTTTGATTTATTTATTGTGTGTGCATACCACAGCACTCATGTGGAGGTTAGGGGACAATTTGTGGAAGTCCGTTCTCTCCCCATCAAGAGAGTTAGAGCTGTAGCTCGGGTCACCTGTTTTACGCAATGAGTACCATCACCATCTGGGTGTCTAGCTAGCCCCACCTACATAGTTTCAGCAGACAATATAGGCAGATTTATCGCTCTACCTCACTCCAGTTGATAAAACTATTCTTTTTTATCCTAACAAGGTCTTGCTGTATAGTCCGGGCTGGACTGAAACTCACTATGTAGACCAGGTTGGTTTCAAATTTATAGAACTCAATCTGCTTTGGCCTCCTGGATGCTGGGATTAAAGGCATGCACTACCAGCCAGGTGGTGGTGGTGGTACATGCCTTTAATCCCAGCACTCAGGAGGCAGAGGTAGGCAGATGTCTGTGAGTTCAAGACCAGCCTGGTCTACAAAGCAAGTTTCAGGACAGCCTAAGACTATTACACAGAGAAACCCTGTCTCCAAAAACTAAAAATAAGGGGAGCGAGGAGGACATGTGTACCCAAGAAAATTGCTTAATTTAATTTTTTTATTGTGGTATTGTTCGCATGACCTCAACACAGGCTAATTAATTTTCCTATGCCTATAAAACCCATCTGTCCTCATTTCTTTTCCAGTTTTTATGATAAAATATCCTGACAAAAAGTAAGTTCAAGGAGAGAGTTCATTTAGCTCAGGGGTTCAGGTTACAGTCAGTCATGGCCAGGAAGCACAGTGCGGGGAGCCTGAAGCAGCAGGTCCTGCTCTGTCTCCAGCAGAAGAAGAGAGCGGTCAGGCTTGCTAGTGTTCACCTCTCTTTCTCCACTCTTAAAATAATCCAAGATTCCCGACTTTAGGAATGGCCGCACAGTGGGTGGGTCTTCCCACCTCAAAGAACATAATCCAGATAATACACAGCAGTCCATCTTCCAGATGGTTCTAGACTTTGTCAAGTTGGCAACACCAGCCATCACACCATCCTTACCCAGTACTTGGGGACCCTCATTCCTTCCCTTCCCATGATGCTTCTTTCTTCTTCCACTCCCGGTTCTTCACAGACTCAAGGTAAGACAGTCCTCCCTAGAAGAGAAAAAGGGAAAGAATTCTTTGTTTCTTCTTCTTTACTACCTGTCTTATTATCTCTAGCAGACTCCCCTGCTGTAAGCAACCACTCTGGGAACAGGCACAGAACCCAGTAACCAGTTCCGCTCCAGCTCAGACTGGCCTTGCATTGGCGGCCCGCTGTCTGAAGCCTGAACCTTGGCTATCACCTTCTGCCCCAGGTCTGTACCACTTGGGGATATCAGAAACACAGAACCAATAGAGGTGTGTTACAGGGACCTGGTTGACATGATCATGGATGCTGGCAACTGCAGACTCTTCAGTGCCAATCTACAGGCTCAAGACCCAAAAGAGTCAAAGGGACAGATACCACTCAAAGGCTGCCAGGTAAACAATCAACCCTTCTCGTTTGAGAAAGTGAATCTTTTTCGTTTCATTCAGGCTTCCAACTACTCTTAAATTAACCTGTTTTTCTTCATCTGTGTGCTGCCACGTGGCTCAGTTACCGCTCCTCTGGACCTATGTCCAACTTCTTTAGAGTCTCACTGGTCTCTCTCACTCGCCTAGATTCATCCTGAGTTCGTCTCTCTCCCTGGAAGTAACCTCCTCCTGCCTAACTATTGGCTGTTCAGCTCCTCATTAAACCAATCAGAAGGCGCCTGGGCAAAGACCCATCTTCACAGTGTACAAAAAGACTACCACCTCACCGGCTCCATTTCAATACACACTGCAAGCAGCCACTGTGCTGGTCTGGCCTGTAACACAGATCTAAGACTTTATAGTTTCAGATATTAAAGAAAAGAAAAAAGAAAGGCGAAACCCTTCAAGCCTATGACAGAACTCTGGAAGGTGCATCTCCAGGGAAAGCAGTGGGCGCTGAAGCACCCTGGGTGCTCATTTGTACTCTTTCTCCACTTCAGAGCAGTGGTTGTGGCTCGGAGTAGGGCATCCTCTTCCACAAAGCCTGGCCCGAAGTACATCAATTTCCTGTTTGCAGTTCTCGTGTTAAAAAAAAAAAAAAATCACTCAACTGTCACTTTCAAAGCGACATAAAGAAAGTCACTTAAAGTACACACCAAAAGTGAGATCCATTACCAAAAAATAAAAGGGGAAAAAAAGGCAGGTTGGAAAGTTGGATTGGATTTTGTCAAAAGTAAAATTTTGCCTGTCACACTGGGCATAGTGGCGCACACTTTAATCTTGGGAGGCAGAGGCAGGTGGATCTCTGTGAGTTTGAGGCCAGCCTGGTCTACATGGAGTTCCAAGAGAGCCATGGTTATGTAGAGAGACCTGTCTAAAAGACAAAACAACTTTCCCTTGAAGAGAAGACATTTTGGTACTTCTAGTAATCATAGTACTGAAGAGGCTGAGGTAGAAGGACTGTGCCTTTCAGGCCAGCCTGGGGTAAACAGAGAAAGGGAGGAAGGGAGGAAGGGAGGGAGGGAAGGAGGGAAAGTCATAGGAAGAAAATTCTCGCTTTTTTGTGTGTTTGTTCATTTTTCGTGGAGTTTTGTTGCTGTTGTTTGTTTTTCAAGACAGGTTTCTCTGTGTGACCTTGTCCTGGAACTCTATGTTGCATGTGCCTCCAACACCGAGTAGAAGAAAGATGTCAACTGACATCTCTAAAAGGCTTGAATCTAGAATATATAAGTGACTTTTAAAACTTAATAATGAAATTTTCTTTCATACACACACAAGCACACACACACACATGCACACACGTGCGCGCACACACACACATACACGTGCGCGCACACACGCACGCATGCACACACATAAAACAGAGCAATGCCAAGGGTGTAGCTCAGCAGTAGAGTGCTTGCTTGCCTACCATGCTCAGTCCCTGGGTTCTTTTCCAATTCTGTTCTGAAACCAGAAAAGCAAGCAAACAAACAAACAAACGTCTTCATAATAACATGGCAAGCAATCGAATAAATACAAGCAGGACTCTGTGGTGGCACACACCTTTAACCCCAGCACTCAGGAGGCAAAGGCTGGCGGATCTCAGTGAGTTTGGGTCCAGCCTGCAGTACATAGTGAGCTCTAGGCCAGATGAGGCTACATAGTAAAAACCTAATCCCCCACAAATATGTGTGTGTGTGTGTGTGTGTGTGTGTGTGTATGCACATTTTGTTTGTTTGTTTGTTCTAACTAGGTCTCTCTATGAGGTGCTGGCTGCCCTGAAGTTTTTATGTAGATCAGACTGGCCTTAAACTCACAGAAATCCTTCTATCTCTCTCTGTCTCCAAAGCTCTAGGATCAAAAGATGCGACCATCATACTCAATTTCTCTTTTTTTTTCTTGTTTGCTATATAATCCAGGTCAGCTTACAGCTTACAACTTACATTTGTCACCCTCGCAAAGACTCAGATATCTCCCTACCATACGACTGGATGGTCACTCACACCTGAGAGTGTGTGCCACACTGGAGCTGTGGCTGAGTGGTAAAGCTCTCACCCAGTCCACATAAAGGCCCAGTCTTATTCCTCAGCATCACAGAGGAAAATCATACAAAAAAACAAAACAAAACCAGAGGCATGTTGTGCCTGTGCGGTAGAATACTACTTACCAGTAAAATGTGTCATCTACTGTAACACATAACAGCAGGAAGAACGAGCTTGCCAATCAGACCTGTGATCTGCCGGTACACACAACACGGAAGAGTAGTGATCGCACTGAGAGAAAGAGATCAAGACCAAAAGGACACGTGCTGTGTGGTTCCATTTACATAAAACAAAAACTGCAAACCCGTCTCCAGCAGATGGGGGTCATTAGGAAAGAAGTGACACCGAAGGGCAGAACGGGCTGGAAGGGACGTGAGGAAACTCTGGGGTGATGGATATGCTTGCTGTAGTGCTGATGCTAATACAAATGAAACTCCGATCAAATTATAGACGTTCTGGTTCAACAAAGCTGAGCCGTCTCGAGAGAAACTAAGAGCTACGCTTGAGGAAAGGTCCCTCTTCAGGTTTCCTCAGAGAAATTCACCCAAAAGGACAGAGCACGTATGTCGGGTTTAAAGTCCTCATCTGCCATAGTCTTTGTGTGGTCTCTGGCTGGTTACTTATTAACCTCACAACCCACGCTCTCTCTCACGCACCCCACCTCTCTGACAAGATCTTCCGATATAGACCAGGCTGGTCTGGAATTCACTGTGTAGCTCAAGCTGACTCACTCACAGTGATCCACTTGTCACAACCTCCCAAACACTGGGTTTACAGAGGTATGCAATGTCATGCTCAACTTCCTTAAAATGGGGCTCCTATGGGCTAGAGACATGACTCAGCATTAAGAGCTCCTCTGCTGCTCTTCCAGAGAGTATGGGTTCAGTTCCCAGCACCCAAAGAAGAGCTAGCAACTGTTTGTCCCCAGGAATCCAAAGCCCTCTCCCACACATGGTGCACAGACCTCTGTTACAGACAAAACACCCTTGCACATAGAAAAAAAAAATTTAAATGGGGCGAATACTCTCCTGCCTTTGGGAGTTCATGTAATGACGGATGAGAATCTCTAGCCCATCCCAGGTTCCAGATAACATTGGGCCCCAGATCTGAGGTAGTTGGATTTGACACTGTTTACTTTCTTTTTTTTTCTCTTTTTCTTTTTCCTTGCAGATAGCATCCCTGGTCACAGTGACATTCATGGGAAAGTAACGAGGAGGAAGCAGAGGAGACGGTGGCTCTTGCATTATGTTCCTCTGAAAACAGGGCCTAAGACCTAGATTAGAGCCTTTGAGGGGGAGGTGTCCCATTTCAGGAGGAAGAGAGGACGCTAAAAAGCAGGGGTTATTTGCCACTGGTCAGGACCCAGTCCCACCAGAGACCATCTGAAGCCCGTCCCACGAGCCTCGGAGGAAGAGGAAGCTGAGGGCCATCCTCAGGGAGTCCAGTCTCTGCTCTTCTCCACACACTGCCAGCTACTGGAGAGATGTAGAGACAGGCCTCTTATGGGAGACATTGACAGGATCAGCAAAAGGCCCACCATACCCGTGAGTGTGTGGATACAGAGCCCATGCTCAGGTCAGCAACACAACAGGTTTTAACCAAGATGATTACTCTTGTACCAGACGGGCAAACATCAAGTGACTCTCAGCAAAGACCACGCCCTCCTCTCAACTAAGAGGACAAGTCCTAGAATACAGCTTCCTTAGTAACTCCCTCAGGACAGGTGTCTGGGAGAAAGGAGAGGACGTCTGGAGAGTGAGTCATTAAGGGTGGAGCTGGACGTTTATCAGAAGGGAGAGCTAGCCCTTTGGAGTAGCTGTTAAATCAGCTTCTCTGTTCTACAAGGAAATTTGAATCTAAATGCACCTCACGCTGGGAATTCAGTAACATTTATATAGTAATGATCACCACTTACTGGGCAGGTGTTATGAGCCTTACTTTAATCTGTCTTCACAAGAGCCTGGCCCAGGAGGTACTGTAATTAGTCAAAACACGGAGATATTGAGCAAACAACTAGTAATTAACAGAACAGAATTTAATTCCTGGCTACTTAACTCCAGACCACTAGACAATGCTCCATTCCCCCCCCCCTCTGTGTGTGTCTGTGTGTGTCTGTGTGTGTGTCTGTGTGTGTGTCTGTGTTTTAAAGTGCACTGTTACCAACCTGATCTACATAGTGAGTTCTGGGCCAGCCAGGACTGTATAAGACTCTGCTCAAACATGAATAAATGCATTCTCCAAAGCCTCTTTTTCCCACCCTTGTATCTTACATGAATCCTTCACAAATATCCTAGGCTCATTCCCTTTACGAAATAATGTAAGCCCTTAACCCATGCACTTAGGAGGCCGAAGGTGGATCTCCGAGTTTGAGACCAGCTTGGTAGAGAGCTAGTTTCAGCACAGAGAAACCCTTTCTCAAAACAAACCGAAAACAGAAAGAAAACAATGAAAGAAGGAAGGAAAAGGGGAGGGAGGGAAGAAAAGAAAGAAGAACACAGCACAGGAAGTCCATGAGGAGCAATGGGCTGCCCCGCTGGGATGAGAGGCTGGGAAAGCACAGAAACCAGACCTTTGCCAATAGCTGGGCACAGCAAACAGAAGGGCTATAAACTACTGGGTGCGTCACAAGTACTCATGTAGACACAGCAGTTACAGCTGCTCACGATGTTTTAAGATGTTTTGTTCTGCTTTATTTTTACTTTAGATGAACGAATGCCTGGCTGTGTGTACACGTGTATACCAGGTGGGCACACGCAGTGCCCACAGGAGGCTGGTGGAAGGTGCTGGATCGTGGAACTGAAATTAAAGGCAGTCGTAAGCTTCCCCCTGGGTGCTGTGAATCAAACTCGGGTCCTCTGCAAGTGCAGTCCATGCTCCTAACTACTTACCTATCTCTCCAGTGCTCACCCAAAAGTGCTTTCAGCCTCTCCACACTAATAAAGACTTGAAGTAAGTTCCCTTTCCCAGTACCCTCGACTTAAGGGTCCATTCAGATAAAGGACTTGGGCTCTGTGGGTAGAATTCATTAGTACACAATCCACACTCCTTTCTGTGAGGAAACAAGCGAGATGCAAGGGTTTTACTTTGATGAGTCGGGAAGCACAGGCGGCACACGACCCAGTGGCTGTGTGGTTCTTTGTGACGGCATCTCAGATGCAACACAGAGAAGCAAGAGGGGGCTCTGATGTGCAGAAGACCTTTCCTTCAGCCCTGGAGGGGCTTCTACAAGAAAGCAGCCCAAGGGAAAGGAAAAGCAGAGCAATAGGGGTGAGGTTTCTTTCCAGGCAGAAACTCACCCCAGAGTTCTTTTCTGCCCAGACTCTGGGTTTGCGTTGGGACTTCTCCAAATGCAGCCCAGTTCCCCAAAGTGGCAGATTTTTGTCGTGGTTGTTTTGTTTTTTGTTTTGTTTTGTTTTGTTTTTCCTTCTGAGGATATTTCTCCCCTTCTGGTGAGGGCATGTTTCCCAGCAGTTAAGGTAGTGAGGAGGGAACTCTGAGCTGAAGCGGTCTTTGGCCAGATAGAAGGTCCTGCCCTGCAACCATAAAAAAGGGCTCCTTAGCACTCTGTTTACATGCAAACCAAAGAAAAATGTCAGGGGGTTTCCTATTTCTTCATCTGCAGTATATCTGATCTCACGTCTGTGGCAACTGGCTGTGACAGCACTTTTTGAACTATCAACTATGAAACACGCAGCACTTCCACTATTAATGATAGTGAAGTCGTGGTGCCTGGGCAGAAAGAAAACAGAAAGTAAGTTGGCTGTGTAGTCTTCCTTGTTGGCTCACAACGTCCTCCTGGCCTGGAATCACACCCACGCACACCCACAGACCGCCAAGTTTGTCTCTATCAGACTCTTACCATAGGCAAACTCCCCTGCTCATTTCAATTAGGTCCACGCTTGAACAGCAAAGGCTTTCTGATCTAGCACTGTGCAGGGAGGAGAGGGAAGCTGCTTCATCGCCGGACGGGTCCCAGGGGAAATCAGGAGGCTGCAATTCAGGGTCACTTCATGGATTTCTCTCAGAAAAAAATTAGAAAATGAAGATTTAAATAAGACTGTAGGGGCCTGGGGAGATGACTTGTTGCAAGGAGGGCTGCTTGTTGGTTCCCAGCCGCTTCGCCCTGAAATAATCGCATGGAAACTGTATTAATTAAATCACTGCTTGGCCCATTAGCTCTAGCTTCTTATTGGCTTTTACACATTAATTTAACCCATTTCTATGAATCTGTGTATCACCACGTGGCTGCAGCTTATTGGCTAAAGTTCCAGCATCTGTCTCCAGCAGGGGCTACATGGCGTCTCTCTGGCCCTGCCTCCTTTCTCCCAGCTTTCACTTTAGGGAAAACTAAAGTGCCGATAGGCAGAGGCAGGTGGATCTCTGAGTTCAAGACCAGCCTAGTCTAGCATTCCAGGACAGTCAGGGGTAGGCAGGGAAACCCTCTCTCAAAAAATAAACAAACAACAAATACAAGAAAATAAAAATTATCTGTGAGCCACCTATGTAACCTATGTACCCCCTACCACAAATGGCTCCTTTGAGCATATTTCTATTTGAATGAGACAGAATCGCATTACATACTCCAGGCTAGCCTCAAATTCACCATCCTCAGCCTCTCTAGTGCTTGGCCTGTTGAAGGGTCCAAAAAGATCCAAAACGACCCAAACACACAAGGGCCCATGCAAAGAGAGATCTTTATCAGAAGAACAGAAAAAACTGACCACCCAGGGACCGCAGGTCAGAGTTGGAACTGACTGTGTCCCCGAACGTTCGTCTCAGCAAGTATTTAAGCAAATACCCCACAAACACCTGGGACAAATTACAGTTCCATTTTCCACCAATCAGGATTCAGGGACAGAGGCTTTCCTAGGAACATTGTTCCGCCAACCAGGATATCAGTGTTACCCAGGGGATCTGGGGAGGTATTGAGAACTTAAATTTTATTTGACCCATATTCAAGATGGACATTTTACTCAAAATCACTTAGTTTGGCTCCTTCTTACAGGTCAACATATCGATTTCTCATGCAGGTATTTTTTAAAACAGGTTTATCCATCTTATTTTCTTCTATTGTTTCTTTTCTTTTATGCTCTTTTTTTTTTTAAAGACAGGCCCTTTCTCACTCTGTAGTTCAGGCTGGCTTCGAATTTGGGAGTTATCAAGAAGAAGACCTTGGATTCCTCATCTTCCTGCCTGGACCCGCACAGTGGCGTCACTATAAGCACATGTTACCCTTCACAGTTTTACATGTTTTTTTTTTTTTTTCCTTCAGTCAAATGGGATTTTTAGTTTTGTTTTTCAAGACAAGGTTTCTCTGTCTAACAGTCCTGGCTGTCCTAGAACTCATTTTGTAGGCCAGGCTGGCCTTGAACTCACAGCCTGCCTCTGCCTCCCGAATGCTGGCATTAAAGGTGTGTGCCACCACCACCTGACTTTCTTTTCTTTTCTCTCCTGTCTTTCTTTCCTTCTTTCTTCCTTTCCTTCCTTCATTCTTTCTTTTATTTGAGACAGAATCTCCTTACATAACTCTGGCTGTTCTGGAACTCACTCTGCAGACCAGGCTGGCCTCACACCCACAGAGATCCTTTTACCTATGCTTCCTGAGTGCTGGGATTAAAGGCACTAAAGGTAATTAAAGACGTTAAAGGTAATTTAATGTCTACACACAACTAAATGCTTACTAATATAAATAGTTAAATATTTATGAATATATCTTCATATACCCTTCTCTTTTTATTTTTATTTTGAGGGAAAGTCTCCTGTTGTCAGGTTGCCCTTAAATTCACCATGTAACTAAAAATAACCTCGAACTTCTTAGCCTCCTTCCACCATCTCTAGAGGGCAGTGACTGTGGGATTACAGGTGTGCATTCACTCCTGGTTGATACACGTGCTGGGGATCCAACTCAGGGTCCACAACACAATCGGCCAGCCCTCCGCCAATCGAGCTACATTCCCCAGTCCCTGAATCTCCTTTCTGATACAAGAAATTTTATCTTTACTGCATCCTTTTTATTTGTAAAATATGTGTAGCATAAAAGTTGTCATTTTAAGCATTTAAAATATGCACTAAGTACATTCACATTGTTGCTATTATTACCATTCATCTCTAGAGGATATTAAAAAATAAAAAAGTAAGAAAATATTTCTTTAATTCCCAGATAGATAGGGAAGGCATCAACCAAAAATTTATGTAACTACTAAAATTAAAGAGCTGGCTTAAACAAAAACACAACTGAATAATAAGTTGGTCCCCTGAAAAAGGTCTCCTTTTAATGCAGCAAAAATGAGCAAGGCTATAGCAAAGTCTAGCATAAGGAACGAGGAGGTTTAGCATACAAAAACTTGGAATCATGCTAGAAATGGAAAAATGTAAAAAAGGAATTGTATATCCAACGAAACTATTTTTTTTTCAAGGAGTGAAAAGATGACGTTTGGAAAATAGTGAAAACAAACTTCATCTCCAACAGACTAAGGAATTCCTAACAGACGTAAACTAAGATCTCAGAAATTCTGAGATGTAGCAAAGAGAGGAAGTTCTCCAGCACATCCAAGCCAAGCCAGTGAGCATCTTCCCAAACCCACGCACGTTGGCAAGAAGGGCACTTCCACCTCGAGCCATACGTCTGAGAGAAGCCTCGCAGCGTTCAGACAGCAACTGCACAACAACCTTCACAGCTCCATCACTCTCGGTGTCCAGAAGAGAAAACGGCCCAAATGCCCAGAACGGGCGAACGGGTAGAAAGGTGCGGCATACAGCATGCCGGAATATTTCCAACCTTTACCAACATTATTTAACCTAAATAAAATTCAGAAACATCCCATAAGATAATGAACCTTGGAGATACTGTGCTGAATGAGGTAACCCAGTCATGCAAGGATCAATGGCATGTTGTTCCTCTTTTATGAAGTACCTGAAGTGTTCGGATTTACAGAGAGAGAGAGAAATGCAGCGGTTTATGGGGCCTGGGAGGAAGGAATGGGGAGTAACTGTGAAGTTGCTCCAAGGTGTTGGCTTGGGATTAGATCTTGTAAAAGGCTGAATGGTAGGGCTGACTGGTTTTTCAGCCTCCAGCCACAACCATGCCATAGAGTGATAAATGCAGGTTATTTGTCTACTTTTGGTACTTTTTAAAATTTATTCTTATGTGTATAAGCCTTTTGTCTGCATACATGTTTGTGACCACATGCATGCTGGTGCCTGCAGAGGGTAGAAGAGAATGTTAGATGCCCTGGAACCGGAATTAAATACAGTTGTGCGTCACCATGTGGACACTGAGGATCAAGCCTGGGTTCTCTGGAAGAGACTTATTTATTTTGAGACAAGATGTTGCAATGAAGCCTTAGCTAGCCTGGAACTCATTATGTAGACCAGGATGGCCCTAGAGGTCTACCTGCTTCTGCCTCCTAAATACTGGGATTAAAACTGTGCACCACCATTCCTGTTACCCAATGCTCTGACACTCTGGAGTCTTGAAAAGCCTTCATCCAGAGTATATGCTTATCAGGAACACGAATCAGAGTATTTGCATGCAGGAGGTGCCATGCAAGGGAAAGAGTGGGAAGCCCCAAGTCGGTCATATGTGCGCTATGGACCCCGCAATGGCAGGGCCGGCACACTTAGCCTGATTGCAATGCCCTGGGAGAGATCTTGAGCCCTCCAGCTCCACAGAGCAGTTCACAGAGCAGACAAGTCCCTACCAATGCCAAGGGCTTGCATCAGCAAGAAGAGCAATTAATAATGACTTGAGCAGGAATTCAGAGAGGGCCCCCCCCCCAGTGCATTGCTACAAGAGTCACACCTTCTTCAGTCACCTGCACCACAGAGGCATTTATCGCCCAGAGGCATTTGCAAAAAATAAGCTAGCCTGAGCTTGAGGGAAGGACAGTTTAGTGGATAAAGCTCTTGTCATGCATGCATGGAGGACCTGAATTCAAGTCCCTACACCCCAAGTGAAACTGGGGACAGTAGTATTCCTACAGTAAGATGAAAGACAGAGACAGAAGAATTCTGGAACCTCCACATGCTAGCTAGCATTGCTCCACACAGCAGAGAACATCTCAGATACCAGAGGCTGTCCTCCGACCTCCATACACACACCATTACATGCACCCCACCCCC